GAAATACTGCTTAAGACTTCTCATTTTTCTTAAAGAATTTTTTAGAGATAATCTTACAGTGATAAGCTGATGTCTTATAAGCTCTATAGCACTCTTCTTCTATTTTCTCTCAAAGAGTTTTTTAGAAGTTTAATGAGACTATACAAGTATAAAATTCCTGAAGCAGTTAATAAGAAAAGAAAGAAATATTTAAAATTAACAAAGATTAATATTATTAACTCACAGATCACTGCTATTCTAATAGAGCTGCAGTCTGCTGAAAAAGTAAAAAGAGAGATTAATGTCTACTTATTAATAATTACATTCTCATTAAACTCATTCTTCACTGTTAAAGTCTTCAGCACTGATATCTTTATCTGCTGAGAAGTTAGTACTATAGTATCACAGAGAAGTATGCTGTAGAAGAGTATAAGAGATACTTAAAGTATTAACTTATTAATTTATAAAGCATCTCAGTCATCTACTTCAATTAAAGTGAGATTCTCTTCAATCAATGATTAATCTTCACAGTACTTTTAATAACAGTGCTGACTGATCTCTTCTTGAGACTAGTTATTCTGAGATGTTTTTTCATTTTAGAGACTCACACTTTCATGTTCTTTTACAGATGAGTAAGAAGAATCTTCTCAGTCTTGATAAAATTCACTAACACTTAAAGCTCTGAGACTCTTACTCTGTACTGCTTGAGTATCTGAGCTTCTTATCAGAGCTGATATAACATCTTTCTGTGAGATAATACTTACAGAGAGATAGAAGTTATTGTTACAGACATAATAGAAATAACAGAAGTAAGAGAAGAAGTAAGTATATAAAATCTCTCTCTTCTTCAGCTGCTTAGCACAGTGTAGACAAATAACAGTGTCAGTCACAGACTGCACTGAAGCCTTCTCACAGAGAGAAGATGAAGAAACTGTAAGATTCTGCAGACTTAACTTAACAGCATTCTGAGTAGAGCTTGAGTGTGCTGTGAGAGAAGAACTACAGATTGAGCTTCTCAGAGTTACTATTTCTGAAATCAAGCTCTCTTCATGTTTCTCTCTGAATAATCACACAGAGTCATACATTACTGTGTTGACTGAGAGAGAGAGCAGTGTTACAACAGTAGTGAGAGAGACAGAGAAAGAACTGAACATGAATGAACTGACTAGTAGAAGAGATGACATCTCACTGCAAGATACAGTGACTATCACTGCAGCTGTAAGAGAAGCAGAAGAAGAAGAAGAAGAAGATATGATAATGAAAGTAGTGCTTCTGCAGCTCAGTGATACTGCTGTCTCTGTCTTCAATCTGACTTTCTTGATAGTCACAGAGATCACAGCTGCATCACAAAGACATTTATTACTTACTAGAAAATGTCAGAATAAGTCTCTTATTGTCTCTCAAGAATGATGCTCTCATGCACTCACTATTACAGATGAGAAAGAGAGAGAAAAATGTGTCACAGAGAGAGAAGAATCTTTTTGAAAAATTCTGTCACTACTGTTAACTTTGTCTCTAAAATACATCACTTTTACAGAGAATTTCATATATAGAATGAAATATGATGAGAGATCTGTAAGTCACTTATTAACTATGTTTTTCACATTTTAAATTGATATATAAGAAACTCACTTATCATGTGTTTGATTTGAACAAAGATGAAAAAAGAAAGATCTATATAGTCAGCAGAAAAACTCATCTATTTCTTTATACAGTATATATACTGTTAATCAGTTAGCAACTGTTATTATATAATAAAGATAATTTCTAATCTAATAATCTTGAGAGTATTGAGACTATGCTCTTAAAGAAGAGAGTATTGTTATATCTCTGACTGTGTCAAGACTCTGCTGTGATTTCACACAGCTTATTACTTTCATACAGATGATTTCATTCTGTTTGAACTAGTTTTGAATCACTCTATAATATTATTCAGATATATCATAGAAAGATCTGATTAATAAATATGAGAATCTCACTTCTATACAAGATCAGCAGATTACTTTTTCATAATAATGAGATACTGCTGAGGTATCACTCTGACTATTCTCACTTATGAAATGAGAGAAGAGTATTCACTCATTATCTATATAGAATAGCTAGATGCTGACTTCTTATCAAAGAAGTCAGTAATTCATTTTTTCTTCTACTGAAATATATACAAGAGTTACTGTGTGTAGACTGGCCGCCAGAATCATGAATTTCATATTTGATCTCATTTGATCTGGTCTCATACATTTCTTAGCGTGAATCCTGCTGGGACTGGCTATCAAAAAAACATGTAAAGTGACTATATATCAGATCTTAAAATGAAATCATGACTTGAAAAAAATGAGAAAGTGATTTCATTTAATCTCATTTAGTCTCATTCTTGATATAAAGTTACTATTTTTAGACATTTTAAGGTTTTTTGTAGACTATTTTTAATTTTTTAAAAAGTAACACTTTTTGATAACACTCAAATAAGATTTAAAGTCATTTAAAGCAATAAAAATAATTTAAATTAAGAAGTGAAAATCATGATCTTATTTGAAAAATGTGATAAGAGTAGACAGTAAGTCTCACTGAGACAGTATAGAACTACTATTCAATGTTAAAACTGTGTAATAAGATCAGTTAAATTGATAATGAGACTATTAAAAAATCTGATTCTGATTCTAGACATAGTTACACAGTCAGTCTAACTGTATGTCTTATACAATCTTCTTAGTATACTAAGTATTATATCTGTGATATTCTCACAATATCTCTGTACTCTATAGACTGGCCGTTGAAATCATGAATTTCACATTTGATCTCATTTGATCTGATCTCATACATTTCTTGATGTGAATCCCGCTGGGACTAATCATTAAATAAACATGCAAAGTGACTATATATCAGATCTCAAAATGAAATCATGACTTGAAAAAAATGAGAAAGTGGTTTCATTTGATCTCATTTAATTTCATTCTTGACATAAAGTTACTATTTTTAGACATTTTAAGGTTTTTTTTAGACTATTTTTAATTTTTTAAAAAGTAACACTTTTTGATAACACTCAAATGAGATTTAAAGTCATTTAAAGCAATAAAAATAATTTAAATTGAGAAGTGGAAATCATGATCTCATTTGAAAAATGTGACAAGAGTAGACAGTAAGTCTCACTGAGACAGTATGAAACTACTATCTAATGTTAGAACTGTGTAATGAGATCTGTCGAATTGGCAATGAAACTATCAAAAATTCTGGTTCTGGTCTCAGACACAGTCACACAGTCAGTCTAGTAGTCTATGAGCTCACTATTCAAGTAAGATAGTTAAGCTCACTTATACAGCTTCTTAAACAACTACTTCTACATGACACTGCTGACTAGCCACTGCTTCGGTTCTGTTACATTATAACAAGTTTCTAATTCTTTCAGTTATAACAGATAATTACTGATTAATTAAGCTTAAAATGTAAGAATAAGTACTTACAGATAATTATTCAGTGATTCATAGCTTGATATAATATATACTGATAGCTACTAGAAGTATTCACAGTAGAAAGTTAAATATAGAAGTTAAATATATAATAGTAGTTAAGATAAGTTATAAATAGTAGTTATAAACTTCAGTCTATATAGTTGTATATAGTCAAGAGTCAGTAAGTCTATTAATTACATAAGAGATAGAAATAGAAGTAAAGAATCTATGAGAAGTGAAATTTCTTACATAAAGTTCTTAACTATATAATGTAAAAAACCTTTAAAATCTGTATTAAATTAAGTATTTAAGTGACTCTTCAATTCTGATAAGATATCTGATATAATTTTTAACTTTATATTACATATTAAACAGAGTCTTCTAACAGTTTTAAAACAGTAAAGATTTCACTGAATTTAATATACAGTGACTAGATAATAATCAATACTCTGTATAATCTTAGTAGATATATAATTATTCTTAAGAAAGTGTATAATTTCATTATTAATAAAATCACTGAGTTGAAGTAATATATTAGTAATAAAGATAAGACAGACATATATTTGAATAATAATTGATTGAAAAAGACATGTATTGAATGATATTGAATGATTCTAGAGAAATGTGAATATTTTGATTTTTTTGTGATGTTTTGCTACTAATTTTCAGGGGGGCTGGGAAAATTCTGTTTTCACAAGCAATATGTCCGCCACAATATATTCCGCGGCCTGCTTTTCGCGTACCTCAAATCGTGAATCTCATAGACAACGAAACTACTTGCTCTCCCTCCTCTGAAAGCCATCTGTAGACCTCACAACTTAATTGATGTGCCACATTACCCTCGGAGTCAGCACATATTCAGTCCAACTACATTCAGTTGATTATGCAAATTTTACTTACCGCCGGGCATTCATCCCGCTGCTAGATGAAACTCCTGTTCATGGAGCCTTTTTGATCGGAAACCGATGAGACCCCTGCTGAATTAATGTGGTTTTCACACTCAGTAGTATAGCTGCCTATCCCATAGACAATACATCTCATGATTTTATTATCAGCGGGCCCAACAGTACTTGTCACTTGATTGCCTCAACAGCGCACACTTAGAAACAGTGCAGACCTTGGCACTCATGGGTGAATTCTAACTACACTACATTAATCAACTGAATTCAGGAAATTGAATAATGGGGATAGCTTTGCGGATGTCCACAACCCTCGACGCTCACAGAGAACTCGTTGATAATGCCGCGGGGAAGCCCAGCCATATCCGGGCTCTTTCAGTGGATATTCGCTGTAGAGTATGGTGGTCCCTCTTCTGTCTCTATACAGGGGCTCATATGACACTCGGGCGACCAACTCTAGAAAGATGGCATCTAATCATTACTATCATACTTCTCCTACTCTAAGACCTGGGGGATAGAGTGTGTTCAAGCCATCACTTTACAGGGCACAAGCAGATTTTCAGTTGACATCATACCTTTCAGCGAAATGCCCTTCGTATTTTACCCCGCGTAGAAAACAGCCACTTTAGCAGAATTGCAACCGAGTGTTTTCTACAGAATTCCTGAAATGCTACAGAGTAGCCAGCTCGTAGAATGGCACAACAACCTTTCCCCATTGTTAAAGAGCGACAATCTGTGCCCGGACACAATTTCCACAATATGAACAATCATGAAATGGTATCAGAGCCAACTTATTCTACTTGATGAGCTAGTTCTTCTCAGCTATGTTATACGCCGCGTCCTCTATGTCGCACTTAAGGAAGAGGAGAGATCTGCCACCAAGAAATGTAGAAGAGTGGCACATGAAACCATCTGCAATATTTCTTCAGCAACCCACCTTAATAAAATGACTGGTTGGAATGCGATCTGGTTTATCTTTCAGGCACACCTGGTTACCCTGTTTGGTCTATTCATGACAGATAATGCAGCTGTTGATGCCACAGGAACAATCTACTCCTGTCGTGCACAGGTCGAGATCATCATGGTCGCCCTGGCTCAGATGCAACTATGGAGCCCGGCAGCTAAACGAACGTTGGAGGTCGTCTCGCGGATATATGATGCGGCCAACCGCTTCCATGGCGACGGTAGCGAGGGTAGCGAGGGTAGAACCACGCAGTCTGCGGCCCTGCCGAACACCCAATTTCCACTAGCGAGGGAATACAATCTCCTAAGTGTGTGGAACAAGTCCCATTGCTAAATGACAGAAATTCTACTGCATCCTTCGAACATTCCGGGCCAAACATGTAGGCCTACCTCACCTGGAGTGACAGTACCGCTCCCTGTAGTTGCACTTTTTTGTCTTCACTCATGTTTCAGTGCTTGGAACATTTTCGCCATCAGTGCGGGTGATTTGAGGGCAAAATAGGATTTCTTCCTCAATCGCTGCATTTTGTAATTTTGCCAATTATTTTCTATGTCAATAACAGCAATGGCGTAGGCCAAGTCATTCCATAGACACCAGCAGTGTCATAACCGTGCCATGCTTACTCAGTCTCTCTGCGCCACAGTGTATGGAAAACCACACTGTACAGAAAATATTTTGAATATAGTAATCTTCAAAAATTAATTAATAATCATCATCATATCTATCTATAACATAAAGATTATCTATATACTCATTAGAAGATGTAGAATTCACTGTAGATTAAGATTCTATAGAATTATCTTATTATAATTAAGTGACTATAGATTTTATAAGTTTGATTTCAATTGATTAATGATTCTTATTGAATGTCTTTTTCATCTCATCTACTCTACAGATTGTAATCTTATAATTGACATTCTTAATAGTGAGAACTTCATCTACTTGTACCTGTTTATGAAAGAATTTAATAACTTAATATCTATTTACTTAATAATGATCTGCAAGTTCACTCTTATAATATATATTCAATTTCACCTGAATCATACTACTCTTGAAGATCTTGTTCAACTGTCTTGTCAAACCAGGTATAAGAGTATTCTTCACATTTTCTAAGGTCTTGACTGCTGTATTAATTTAGTAATGTAGTTTTACAATCATCTCTGAGAAGATTAATTATAAGAAGATAGTTAATAATTAATCTGCAGATGATAAGATAAAGTATTATTATTATTATTATTATTCTTTCATTATACTCATATACAAGCGGAGCTTATGATGAGTCCTTGTGTGATGTTAAATACAGATTAAGTGTTAATTATACAGGAGGAAATACAGATGTTGAGATCACATCAAGATAACAAGAACATAGAAAAATACAAAGAAGTGACAATTAAATACATGCAATAATAACTTCTCAGCCCAGGAATATAGAGTGATTCATTGAAGTGATTTGTACACCTCTGTATTTATTAGAAACCTGAGATGCTTGAGTTCCGGATTTAATGTATCCCCTGCGGGTTTCAAACCCACGTGCCTTGGTTTCCCACGCCAAGGTGCTACCGGGTGGCCGCATTAACCATTCAGCCACCGGGGCGGTGAGATAAAGTGATTGTATACATCATTATCATCATCATATATATTGAGATTCAGAGCATCATTAATAGTAAGAGGTCTCAATTGATTGAGAATTATATCATGATTAACTGAATACATTTCACAGTTAGTAAAGCCAGCTCTCACAGTATCAGGTTTGAATACTTATAGTTAAATTCTCTTCAGATTAGTAAGAAATTATCTGTTACTATACTACTCATATTTATAGCAGACAGTCTTATTAACTGTCTTTGTATAATAATACTTATACTGCTGAAAAGATACATTATTAAGAGATTGTAAAATATAACTTATATAAGATAAGAATCTGAATAGAATAATTTTATAAAGATTATAGTATTAAATGAATTCTTCTATAAGATGAGAATTATAATTATTTATTAATAGCAGTTAATAACTGCTTATTTAACACTTTTTTATAATTTTATTAAACTGCTTAATTCATTTAAATTCAATCTTATTATTTATAAAGTCAGACTCAGATGCAGTAATAATATAGTTATTAAATAAGTTAAAGTGTATATATTAATTCTCTAAATAAATCTTTAATTTTATTATAATTAATAATTTATCTACACTAATATACTTTAGCACTATTATTAACTCACAGAAGTATAATAACTGTATAACAGAATTCATATCTCTAAAGACAGTTATAACTCACTATTCACATTATTCTTCTTTTTAAAATTCAATCTCATCAAAGTTATAGATAGACTGACTACTGAAATTATGAATTTTATATTTAATCTCATTGATCTGATCTTATACATTTCTTGGTATGAATCTCACTGAGACTTGTCATTAAAAAAACATGTAAAGTGACTATATATAAGATCTTAAAATGAAATCATGACTTGAAAAAAATAAGAAAGTGATCTCATTTAATCTCATTTAGTCTTATTCTTAGTATAAAGTTACTATTTTTAAACATTTTAAAGTTTATTTTAGACTATTTTTAATTTTTTAAAAAGTAACACTTTTTGATAATACTTAAATAAGATTTAAAGTCATTTAAAGCAATAAAAAATAATTTAAATTAAGAAGTGAAAATTATAATCTTATTTATAAAATATGATAAGAGTAGATAGTAAGTCTTATTAAAACAGTATAAGATTACTATCTAATATTAAAACTGTGTAATGAGATCAGTTGAATTAATAATGAGACTATTAAAAAATCTAGTTCTAGTCTCAGACACAGTTACATAGTCAGTCTAGTTATAGATATTACAGTGAAAAAATAATATTAATTAAAGATAGCTTTATATCAATTAAATCAGTTAATAATAAAGCTTATATTCTTATAAGATACTTATTTTAAATTTATAGACTTTTGCTTAACTTATTTATAATCTAACAGATATTTAATGAATTAATATACTTATATCTTACTTACTATAAGAGATGCAGTCTCTGAATCTGTATAATACTGTCTTAATATACAGTTTACAGCAGCTTTGATACACTCAATAATAAACAGATAAAAATTAATATTTAACTGATAAATTTATATCTTAATTATCTCTTTCTAACTGTTATTCAATACTTAATTCAGTGAAACTCTTATAGTTCTTGATTTCTTCACATTGATTCTCTTATATAAGATAATATATAAGACTTTGAATTCTTATAACAGAGATATGATTTTTAATTTTTAATTATATTTATATATGTTAACAGCTCTTTACAACTGCTTCTCAGTGTAATTAGAAGATTTAGACATGATTATAATTAATGATGATTATTTGAAGATGAAGAATGAAGATATTCAAAATATTTTCTATACAGTGTGGTTTTTCATACACTGTGGCACACTCACTAGAGAGAGTGAGTAAGCATGGCACGGTTATAGGGATTCTTTTGGAGATTCTAACTTTGCAAGAAGAGGTACAAATAGCAAACCACTCTTCTTATATAGCGCATTGTAGTCAACTGTGATTTCAGCCACTCTCCGGGCGGAATGGGTATCGAATTTTGACCCAGAATGAGAAATTAATTTCTCATCACAAAGCGTGGCGGCCAAGTGTTGGTTTGGATGGTTGATTCTTCAACATTCAATTTTTGCAGAATCCTCCTCGGACCGGATCATCCGTGTTCCGGACACGCCATCTCATCACAAGCCTCAACGTTCCTTGTTGCAATGCTCTTGACAAATATCCAGAAACAGAGACAGGTCTGTTCGGTCTTTTCGGTCTGTTCGGTCTGTTTGATCTGATTGTTTCCTACTTGTTCGTTTTGGCCTTGGGGTTGATTACGGCTTTTTTCCACTCTGCATCCAAGCGCGCAACCGTCCTCGAGCTGCAATTTTTGGCTATAACACTCTCTGCATGCTCGAACCGGTTGATAGGTTGATAGAAGAGAGGAGTGCGATGTCATTTATCATCACCCGTTTGCTATATCATACTTGTGGACTGAGTTTTGGGTGGCCCTTTGTTATTTGCTCTAATATAGTGACCCATTTTTTGTGCATTTCTGAAACGGTCTGCACAGCGTAACCCATCAATTCGAGCCAACCAACACATCCTTCCCCCCCCCCCCCCCCCCCCTTTTTTTTTTATTTTTTTTTTTATTTTTTTTTTTTTTTTTGAATACTACATACACCTATTTCTGAAAATTCGCCATGCAGTCTTTATTCAACTCTGCAACTCGGGTGTTTTCTGCCGCAATTTTTCTCCGAGTTGTACTCCTCTTCTACGGGCTCTACCAAGATGCCCACTCTCCCATGAAATACACCGACATCGACTATTTCGTCTTCACAGATGCTGCAAAGTTTGTCTCACAGGGTCGCTCTCCCTATGACCGCGCCACATACCGCTACACCCCGTTGCTAGCCTGGCTCCTTGTGCCGACGGTGTGGGGCGGTAGTTTCTGGTTCGCCTTTGGCAAAGCATTATTTGCCCTTGCCGACATCGTGGCTGGTTGGTTAATCGTGCGAGTTCTCCGCCAGCAGCGGCTTATGCAAATGGATATGCCGCGCGCGCTCAAGTACGCTAGCATCTGGCTACTTAATCCCATGGTTGCTACAATTAGCACGAGGGGCAGTTCGGAGGGGTTGTTGAGCGTCATAGTTATGGCACTGCTTTGGGCTGTCTTAGAAAAACGGGTTGCGCTAGCTGGCGCCCTCCTAGGTATTGGGGTGCATTTTAAGATATATCCGTTCATCTATGCCCTGTCGATCATTTGGCTGTTAGAAAACGACGAGAGTCATACAGAAGAGGCAGTTGGTATCTTGTTACCATCTATGATTAATCGCTTAGCCTCGTTTCTCAACCCATCCCGCATCCTTCTCACCCTCACCTCGCTTGCGGTCTTTTCCGCCCTCAACCTCTCCATGTATGTCATCTACGGCCTTCCATTTATGCAGCATACATATCTGCATCACCTCACCCGCGTTGATCATCGGCATAATTTCTCACCCTACAATATGCTCCTGTATCTCTCTTCCTCCACTGCTGCTCAAGGCACATCGTCAGGAAACCGCCTGGAGTCACTAGCATTCATTCCCCAACTTGTCCTCTCGGCTGTTTTAATCCCAATTGTTTTGGCCAAGAAGGATATAGCAGGCACTATGCTGGCGCAGACTTTTGCGTTTGTGACATTCAATAAAGTGTGCACGAGTCAGGTTCGTAAGGCCCATTGCTTTTCACCTCTTGCCCTAGTGCCGGAACTACTGGTGTCTAATAGAAGAATTTCCAGTACTTTCTCTGGTACATGATCTTTCTCCCCCTCTACCTGCCATATTCTTCCTTCATGAAAAGACCGCTCATCGGTATCAGCGCCCTTGCCTTCTGGATTGGTGGCCAGGCTCTCTGGCTGTATCCGGGGTTTCTTCTCGAATTCTATGGTCTCTCCACTTTTACTCCGGGCCTCTTCCTCGCTTCCTTATTCTTTTTCTTGGTCAACATTGGGATCTTAGCCGTTATTGTTGCTGATGTCGGCTCACGCTCAGGCAACTCCGTTACCTTGTGCGCATGTGGAGCTGCGAGGGTGGGAAAAAAGGCCGCAAGGGGCCTGGAGTGAAAGAAATGCTTGGCTCGTCATGGAAGTTTCTATGTTACATGCTGGCCACGAATAGATAAATATAACTAACACTGTTAATAATCGACGGACAATTTTCGCTCTGGTCCTACTGTATAGGGGGAACAATATGAGAAACGGAGAGCCTGTGCAGTGGAGGGTTTGTTGATTTGGAGGGAAGGGATTGCCGTTGGTGACTTATGTATATCTATTACATAGCCGCGGCCTATTCCGAACTGTAAGAATAATTAATGAATTAAACAAGCTTGCAAAAAGTGGGTTCTATCGCTTGATAATTATGAAAACAGTTTCTTCTCTCTTTAGAAAGAGACAAGCCTAGCGCCACGCTGAAAATTAGGAAATAAACCTTTCTAGAAATGACGCCTCCAGCGCCACGAAAACCGAATGACACCGGGTAGACAAGGTGAGGTGATATAAACGAGGGATGACAAGATTAGTTCTCTAGCAAAGCTGAGCTTCAACGTCGGACAGGATTCGAAATTGAAATATAGTAGTATAGATTAGGGGCTGGTAAATTGTTTTTTAGAAAAAGCAAATGAGCAAGCAGGAAGAGAAAGAGAAATTGGGAACAAATTTGAATAGAAAATGAATATGACTGGAAGCTGGCCAGACAAACTGAGCTTTTCACAACTTTGACTTGTCAGCGATGATCTTATATGAACTTGCTTTGATACTGAGTGGCCGGGTGCGAGGAAATACTCTCGACGCTGTTTGAACATTGATTCCATATTGGGGAAGTATGCCGTCGTCGAGTAGCTCGAACTCTGCATGTTGACGCGCTCCGTGTAGCGCGTCGAGGATAGTCTCACTCCATAGGCCAATACATTTGTTGTCCACGAGCTGGAAGTATGGATTGAGAAGGCCCAGGGGGCTAGCAGAATCAAGATCGATAAACCTAATGCGCATGTGGTTCAGAGTGACAAATGCGTCCAGTGACCTCACTGCCGCGACAACCAGCTTCTCGAACGAGTTGATGAAGTTTATATTGGTAATACCGGACAGGTCGTTTAACATTGGGGAGCCATCATCATGGGATGGTTGCTCGCGACAGCAGGATTTCACCACAAGGTCTACTGATTTCAGTCTCGAGGCTGCGTGACTTGTGAGCATGGCCGCTCGTGCGTGCTTGAATAAACATGCGCAAACCTTTCCTGTAAAGGTCAAGGATTCCAGTTGGGGTGCAATGGCACCCAAAAGCTGGCAGAGGTGTGGTTCTGCATGAACTGTACCAAACCATCGCGAATGTGAGCTTGCCTTATTGTAGAAGCCTTCTAAGCTGATGTCCAGTCGGGTAATTGTTCTCGGGAAGTTGGCGAGAGCCTTGGATATAGTAACATGAGCTTCCAATTTTCGTTTCGCATAGGCACAGTCCCATTCGCGCAGATTAGGCAATGCCTTGGCAAGGTTACACCAATGCCGGTAGTCCCTCATGATATTCCAAGCACCCCTCATGACAAAGGTCTGAATGTTCGGAAGCACCTCGAGGCTTTCCTCTCCCGATTGACCCCACGGGTCATTATCAAAATGCCTGATCATTGGTGGTTTCTTGCAGTGGCCGCCTTCCAAGGTTAAGATCCGTGCGTGAGGGAAAAAGTAGGAAACGTGACAAAATATTTGTTGCAAGGTGGCGTTGCGGCTGGAGAATCTAAAATTGGAAGTACTCGCGCTGTTACTTGAGGTATTTTCAAAAGTAGCAACAGTCGCTTGAAGCACTGATGCCACGCTGGCTAGGTTCGAGTCCTCGATTCCATTGTGAGGGCGGTAGTAGTGTCGCGGGCGACCCTTTGGCATTCGATCTCCCCATACCGGGATCCATATTTCGATATGACGGACGTACGCAGAAAGATGAGAGTGGGACAAGAACCAATCAGAACAGTCGAGTAGCCCATCAGCGGTACCCTTGACCTGAACTAAAAGAAGAGGGAGAGAGGAAACAGGGAAAGAGGCCGTTAGCACCAATGATAAGTTGTAAAGTTACTCAGGGGTGAGGGAATCCCTACTATGTCGATAAATTCGCTCTTGTACCAAAGGGCGCCATTGAGAGGAAACCAGTGCCAGGTCTGAGAGAGCTTTTCGGCGAGGATGCCGTAGGGCTTTACTCCAGCTGTTCGCGCTCGATTTGATGGGGGATAGGGAAGCAAGGGTGGAGCCGCGGACCCCAAAGAGATGGTCTAGAATTGACTCATGGATCTCAGTTGGCAGGTTACCAAAGAGGATGCGGGGTGCTACGGTTGAACCAGGCGTCACAAGATCAGACATTTCCAGCTCGATTGATGGAGGCTGGTGTTGTAAGTTGGGTGGGGGTTGGAGTTGCCGGTGGTGTTGGATTTCTAGTTCCTGGGAGTGGTGATACTGGTGGGGATGCAGTTCTTTGGGATTAAAATCCCCCTGGTCGTAGACGGCATTCTGTGCTGATTTTGGGCGAGATATGGCAGACAGAGATGAAGGAAGGGTGATAGGGTCCACGGAGAGTAGAGAAGGAGGTGTCATGGCAGAGAACATTGTGTCAAAGAGGGGTGGGAGCGCACGAGACTCGTTCGTTGATGAATAAAAGAGGAGGTGAAGCCAAAATGGGCCAGAAACAGCGGCCCAGAATGTCGGCGTATCTTAGAAGCCTATACTGTAAAGTGTACCGAAAGATAAATTAGTTCATGGACAACAAACAGAATGTAAGGAAACACAAAGTGGTAGAAGTGCCATGGGATGGCAAGGTTCGGTGGAGGGGCTACCGAACACAACCCGGGTAAATTTCCGGGGCAAAGGCAAAGGTATACCAGGAGTGAGAATCAAGATTGTTGGTGAAGATCGAGTTCATTGACGCGGGATCGAAGAGGGTAAGATAACTTGTGACGGTGGTTTCAATAGATGGAGTACGTATATGCCGGGTGAAACGCGAGGAGATAGATCGCAACACGAAACCAAAAGGAGAACCGAAATGAAACCGGCCCTAAACAAGAAATTGAAAGAATATAACAGCCAGAAGAAAAACAAGGCAAGCAAGGAAAAGGAGCAAACAGATGGGTGGCCGGAAGGGGTAGATGATGTTGATGTTGATGGTGGTAAAGATGGTTTTTTGAAGGAGGTTGAAGGTTGGAATCAAGAAAGTTGAGAGCGGGGACGGTGATAACTAACATCATGTATCAGCGACTTTAAGATAGGCGGTCCACCTCCCGACATGTTGGTACTGGTACATGGACGTGTACAAGCGCTGGGTTGAGTTTAGCGGCCTGGCATCTAAGCCGATCTCTGTATATCACGTGACCACCACGATATTATGCTCTTTGTAGATAGCTTCATCAATACAACCTTCAACTATTCTACAGGTTATAGGCTGAAGGGCATGTTTTTCTTTTTAAAATATTGCATCAATATTTCAACAAGAGTAGTTTATTTTTTTCAGAAAGACTTGCTTTTTAATAGAGATATTTCATTTTCTCTGAATCTGCTGATCAGCAAATTTAAATTTTTTTCAACAAAATACATTTTTTATTGCAGAAAATATCACTTATTATATATACTTAGAAAAAGCATTTATTACAATATAAATAATACATCTGTGACTTCAGAATTTAGCTCAGAGTTAAACTGATTAATAGAATTATAAATTTTACATTTAATTTCACTTAATCTGATTCTATACATTTCTTAATATGAATTATACTGAGACTAGTTATTAAAAAACATGCAAAGTAATTATTAATCAGATCTTAAATTGAAACTATAACTTAGAAAAATTAAGAAAGTAATTTTATTTTATTTTATTTAATTTTATTTTTAGTATAAAGTGTTTATTTTTAGAGATTTTAGAGTGTTTTTTTAAACTATTTTTAATTTTTTTAAAAGTAATGTTTTTTAATAATACTTAAATGAGATTTAGTTATTTATAACATTAAATAGTAAAGTATGAAGATCTGATCTGAACTGCAGTTTTTATTGATATAAAAGATATCTTTAATCATGTTTCAAAGTCAAAGATAATTCAAACTGTAAAGATATTAAAACTGTCACTTTCTCTAATATTATAAGTTAACTGTTATATGTTTAAAAAAAGTATATAATTATTCTTTAATGAAATGAAGTAAGATAAGACTGAGATAAAAATAGAAGTACTATAAGAATCTTCAATCTTTTCTGTTTTATTTATGATATATAGTGCATATCTATTTAAGAATAGAGAGATGAAAATAGTGAGATCTTTATACTATATTAATAATATTAATCTAGTCTACAGTTCAAAAACAATCAAAGAGAATTTAGAAGTTATTGAAAAAGTAGTAAAGAAAATCTTTATTAGAGTAGTATGATAAGCTGTGTCTAATTAATTATATAGACTATTTTATTACACTTCATAGATTTCTGCTGAAAGCTTCAATTCTCAGTTGCTGATTCTCAGCTAAGAAATTCACAGAGTTTCTATTCTTCTGCTCTGAATAGACTGACTACTGAGATTATGAATTTCATATTTAGTCTTATTTAATCTGATCTTATACATTTCTTGATGTGAATTTCACTGAGACTAGTTATTAAAAAAACATGTAAAGTGACTATATATCAGATCTTAAAATGAAATCATGATTCATGACTTGAAAAAAATGAGAAAGTGATCTCATTTGATCTCATTTAGTCTCATTCTTAATATAAAGTTACTAATTTTAGACATTTTAAGGTTTTTTTTAGACTATTTTTAATTTTTTAAAAAGTAATGCTTTTTGATAACACTTAAATGAGATTTAAAGTCATTTAAAGTAATAAAAATAATTTAAATTAAGAAGTAAAAATCATGATCTCATTTGAAAAATATGATAAGAGTAGATAGTAAGTTTCACTAAGACAGTATAAGACTACTATCTAATGTTAAAACTGTGTAATATAATCAGTTAAATTGATAATAAGACTATTAAAAAACCTGAGTCTGATCTTAAACTCAGTTACACAGTCAGTCTAGCTCTGAAGCTTTATCTTATATATGTATAAATATTTACTCTAATTATTAATTCTCACACTTTCTCTTATTTTTTCCTTCTCTAATATCTTTCACTTTTGTTATATAAGATCTATATCTTAATACTAATCTATTCAGTGTAGGCCTCTTATACTTGGAAAATATTCATTATCTTCTCATTAGAAATAATTATTCACTGAGAAGATATCTTAACATGTAATAATATATAAGAAATAGAGAAATAAACAATCAGTTTGTAGTTTGAAAGAACATATAATCATCGGATAATAACACAGCCGCTTCTGAACTTGCTTACGAGTGTAAAGAGGTCATAGCAGCCAATAATTAATTTAGTATACAATATATAAGAAGTCAGTATATGTCTGTAATCATACACTGACTTAAGCAATCTTTGAATCACATCTGATAGCATGTTTAAAAACTAGTGAGAAGTGCAGACTTCTTCAGAGCATGATAATTTCATCTACAAAGTAATTTATAGTTATTATATCAGTGTGATTCTAGAACATCTCAAAAGATAGTATATAAAGAGTAATGAGCAGAAGAGTATCTGATTAATACTGCTTCACTTATTGAGAGAAAACTTCATACTCAGATAAATACTATGTATGAGATATAAACAGATGAGACGTAAGAAAGAGAATAAAAGCAGTGAATCAGATTCAAAGAAGACTACTTCTCAATCAGAGAGATAAAAGAAGAAAGTGATTATCACTGAAGTTATACAATGATAACAGAAATTATACAATGATATAGTGATATAATAATAGATATTATATAATTAATAAGAAATCACTGAAATGAATATCTTTTCTAGTTAATATGAACAACACTCTTCTCTGCTATCTGAACTGAAAGATATGCAGAACCTCTCAGAGAGTTTACTCAAAGCAGTAAGAAAAACAGCTGAAACTACTGAACTGAAATTGAAGCTCTATACATGTATGAGAATTCTAAATGAGATTGAGATCTTGCATACACAGTGACAGACTGAGATAAAAGTCAAATAATAATTAGCATTCACTGCAGATCAAGTATTCACTATGAAGAGTTTTATCAACATAATCATTATCATTAATAAGAATAGAGAAAATCAGGTCTTAGATCTGCAGCAGAAGATTGAATATTTATACAGATAGATGACTATATCAAACTTAAAGATCTTACTACAATTATTCACAATCTCTTCAGAAGTATACACATCATCAAAGACTGCTGTGCAGAATGAGAATCTGAGTATGAAATATATTAAGTCAGAAGATCTGTCTGAATTATTAAGCTTTAATAATGACTGAAAAAATGATGCTGAAATCAGCTGACTAAGTCAGATGCAATTATATTATCAGATTGAATATGAACTCACAGACAGACAGTTAATAAAATTTCAATAAGTTTTAAAATCTACTATATTTCTATATGAAAAAGTGAAGTCATTATAAATAACTGATAAAAAGATAAATTTCACAGACTCAGAGCAATATTCATTCTTATGAATATAAAATGAGTTTTTCAAATAAATCTTATAGAACTTTGAGAAAGTGAATATATAAGACAAGTGTTATAAATACTTCACTGAGTTTAGATAAGTGAGTAATTTTATATCATACTTTACACACTTCAGCTTATACTATCTTATATTGAATGAAGAGCTTTCAACATCTTTCTGTTTATAGATTTTCATTCATAATCTTATATCTGAGTTAAGAGTGAAATGAAAATACTTAATCTTATAATCAGATACAGTGAAAGAAGTATATAACATTCTCAATATACAGAAACAAGTGAGTTAATTATAACAGAAAATACTGTAATTAAGTATATCTCAGTGAAGAATGAGTAATCAGACTTCTATAACATAAGTTACACACTTAGATATAATGAATCTAGATCTGAATATTATTGCTAAAGCACTGAATTCTCTGAAAAAGAAATTCTCTGAGTGAAAATCTTGATATTATAAGTATTAAGCTTGCTTTAACTGCAGATATTAAAATCATGATGCAAAAGATTGCACTCAGTGTACACAGTTAAGAGAAGTAAGAGAGTTAAAAAACTAGCAGAATCAGTGAGCTCAGAGACACTCACTGATATTCTATGAAAAGTTTTCAAAGTGAAAAAGATGTCTGTGTTAGATGATTCTCTGACTTCTATAAATATTAAGAGAAAGCAGGCTTCTGAATGAGATGCAGATGAGAATGATAAAGCAGATACTTATCTCAATGTCTTGAGACCTAAAATGTTAATGTATAAAAGACACTTGAATAAAAATTGAGAGATGACTGTAAAAGTGTTAACAGACACAGAAGCTGCTACACAATATATTAATAATTATATAATTTGAAGACTGAAAGAGATCTGCTGAGTGAAAAATTTCTGATATATAAGATTATCTGATAACTGATATTTAATATCATCTATAAGAGTAAGAGTTCTCTTGCACTTCAGAGAATGATCTTGCTATATTTGAGTACAAGAGCTGCAGAATGTGAAATATCATCTTATTCTCAGACTTAATTAATTTCAAAGATTCAATTAACAGATTCAATGATGTACATGTTATATACAGTTAACTGATAGAAAGAAAACAGTTCATATAATTCTATCAACTGATATGAGAAGAACATTTCATATCTCTGATATAGAAGAATTAAATCTACTTATACATTAATAAGTAAAAAGAATAATTTATAAGATCTTATCTAAAAGTAATCTATATATCATACAGAATCTGAAAGAAGAGAAAACTAAGATAAAGAATATATAAAAGAATAAGTATATAAAGAAGCTTCTAAAGAAGTATGAAAAGATCTTCTGAACAGATCTTTCATCAGAATTACTGCTGAAATAAGAATTTAGATATGAGATTGACATAAGAGATGCAAAATCAGTCAATCAGAATGTATACTCTCTGTTATAAATACATCTTAAAGAACAGAAGTGTCAGATCACAGACCTTCTAGAATATAATCTTATATAATTCTCATCAGATATATGAGACTTTCCAGTTCTATTTATTAAAAAGATGAATGAAGAGTGACAGATATGTATCAATTATTAAGCACTTAATAAGCTTATAATCAAGAATGAATATTCATTATTATGAATTCAATAACAGTTGAATACAGTTGAAAATACTTAATATCTATCAAAGATCAATCTTCTCTCAGAATACTGACAGATCTGTGTAGATGAACTATCAGTCTCATG